GGGGCTTCTGCGTGGGCATGTTGTCTTTGGTTTCTAGCACTCCTGCATGTCCGGGCTCATGGTCGTCGTGCGTTTTTCGTGCGGTCCACCGTTGTTGCTTTTTGGGGCGCTGCTTGCCTCTCAGCAAGGATCAGCTCGTCGTTAAGCTGTCTCCACGCTGTCTTGGAGGGGTGTCAACCCTCGGTTTGTTTTTCTTCCGGTGCTAGTCGTCTTCAATTGCCAGGACGATCCAGCCTTACAGCAGTGTTTGGTATGAGGCTTTTGTGAGAGGTTGCAAAGAGGAGCATTCTTGTCGTTGCTATTGTCTTTCACAGTGCTTGTAAGGCGTGTCGCTGCTTGTGTTTGGGGGCCAGCAAACATATCTAATGTCAGTTAGCTGTGTCATTGCCTTCAGGTTGAAAGCACTTTGACAGACATGGCATTGGTGGTGAAAGCAGCGGTAAAGGAAGCAATGGTCACCGGGCTGACGGTCTCTCGGACTGCTCTGTGGAAAGACGCGTATGGACCCGACACCAAAGATCAAGAACTATGGGAACCCACTGGCGAGCCTGTTCTTGATGCCAAACAACTAAGCAGTCTTACCGGGCAGAGCACGGAGAAGGATCTGGTGGCTTTCATTTTGCCCATCTTGAGATCGTTGTTCCCAGAGGACCAGATCGTCGACTCGCAAAATCGCCGTTGGCCTGGAAGCGGCTTGTCACCTGATTTGTTTCGATGTATGGTGTGCAATGGCAATGCATCTAGTGGCACGCCGTACAAGGAGATGCTCGATTGTGTGTCTGTCTTTGAAGCGAAGTTGGCGATCAAGGATGACAGCCGTGGTCAGCTGTATGAGTATCTATGTCGCCTTCCTTCCAAGCATGCAAGGGGCATGATATTCGATAAAAGCGGCTTTGAGCTGTACCACGTGGCTGGGCAACCTGAGACCCGCAAAGCGCTCTTAGAAAGGATTTGTGGGGCTTGGTCCGCTCCTGGAGGGAAAAAGCTCGTACGCGATTTTCTTTCTCAGTACTCTCCATGGGAGCGATTGTTGCGCCAATCTCTGCGACAGGCTGGTGCTGTTCCCGTTGCTTTCCTAGGCAGCGGAGCATTCGGACGTGTCTTGGAAGCGCAACCCGAGCGAAGTGAGGAAATTGAAAGGATTGCCATCAAGGCCGTTCTTGCAGCTGGCGTGCCAGTCGGATTCAGCCCCGGAGCTGAGGTCGAAGTCATGAAGAGGGCCCTTCAAGCGGGCTGCCCAGTAGTGGCTCCTTCATCAGACTGCATCCAGGTCGTAGAAAGCGGCAAGGTTCTGGGATGGTTTCACATCCTCCGTGATGTTGGTACCCCGGTACCATTGGACGTGGCCCAGGCGAGGTGGCCAGAATTGGTCGAAGCCTTGCGCCAACTACACCTGAATGGCTTCGTCCACGGAGACCCACGCCTCGCAAACGTGGTTTTGCTCGGTGAAAACTTTACGTGGATCGATTTTCTGGGACAACCAGTATTCACTGGGGCTTCGCAGGAGACGGACATTCAGATCCTCATGACTGATCTGGTTGGCCAAAAAGACCCGGTTCAGTTTGGCCCGCAGTTTGACGGATGGCCACACAATTCAACCTTCATCCATAGTGTGCTGCTGCCATTGATGTCTTCTGTCACACGCTGAATGCACTTAGCAAGCAGTGTTGGAAACCTTGAAGTTGCTTGATGTGTTCTGCAGCTTCGTGAAAAAGATTCTTCAGACTTTGCTCCTGCGCTTGCGTCGGGGCTGGTTGGATGGAGTCCGAATGGAAGTTGTTGTGAAGGCAGGTAACCCCGCACCTCCACAATCTTCTCAGACATTACCGCAACCACTCCTCTGAACCCCTAGACTCTAAAACCTTTGTTTCGGGCTGTTGAACGCTTCTGGCCTTAAGCCTCAGCGCCCTATACATTCAGATCTGGGCGTTGCAGCGCGCCCTAAGTCAACCCAAGAAGGCAGTCGAGCGTTGCTTGCTGTACTTGTTTCT